TACCAACTCTGAATGAGAAAAATGTTTATGAATTAAGTGACAGACAATGAGTTAATACATAATGTATGACAAATAGATAAAACAAACAAAGACAAGGAAGAACTGCTGACTTACAGGCATGAAATAACTACAGGCAATTCATAGAGAGCCCGACCTAAATGACTGGCAATTGTGAAAAAGATATAGAATTTCACTAACAGGAATGGGAAATTTATTTATTTATTTATTTTGGTATTAGCAGTCAAACTCAGGGCCTTACGTTTGCCATGTAGGTGCTTGTGCCCCTGTATCTCTGGTCTAGGCATGGGAAATTTAAATTAATAACAATACATAATTGTATCAGTTTGCCCTTAAACTGGAAAAGAACTAGACATAAGATCTCTTGTAGATTTTGATTTTAAAAAAGGTGGGGGAGCATCATCTCCCATAAAGTATTGGTGGAAATGTGAAGTACTGTGGTCTTTTAAAAAGTAATGTGACAAATATCTATTAAAATGAAAATAACCTTCAATCTAGAATTTCTGTTCTGGCCATCATGTTGAAATAAAAACAATGTTACATAAAAATGTATCACACTGTGTTGTTTGAACTTATTTGCTGCAAATTTAATTCAAGTGAAAAAAAGAAACTGAATAAAAACAAATCAATTCCTATTGGCAAGTGAGTACTTAAATTTATGTGGTTTATCTTTACTCAGTTATATCTTTGCTGAGTATCTTCCCAACAGAGTTAAAGACACTGTGTTACAGTAAACATGCATACCCATGTTTACAGCAGCACGACTCACAATAGCTAAACCTTGGAAAGGGCCTATTGGTCCATCAACAGATGACTGACTAAAGAAAACATGGAATAAATATGCATTGAAGTACTTCTCAATTATAAAAAATGATAAATTTGAATCGCGTAGAGAAGTGGATCCATATGCTAAGCAAAATAGATCAGATACAGAATGGTATCTCTTATATAGGAAACCCAAAGTATAAAGTATTTAAAGAGAAAAATAAAAGGGAGCTGATAGAAAATCAGGAAGTAAAACTTTTATAGATGAAAAGAAAGAGGAAGGGGAAGAGAAAATAGAAAGAGGTAAGATACAATATATGTACCACCCCCACACACAATGCATGTATCCATTAAGTATTACAGCTGTGTATTAACAAAAAAAAAGAGATAAGAAAATAGAACTACAGAGTTCAATATGGTAAAAATATTTTTTCTTTTTAAGAAATAAACCAAAAAGGATAAAAGTAATACAGATTTTCAAAAAAATAAGAAATTAATACTAGTTAATATATTGCATATTGTTATCTTTGAAGTAGTTGTTAAAATTACAAAATTTAGGAATAAAAAAATCAAACAATCAGACAATGAAAACACAAACTGTTCTTTTTAATGAACTAATAGAGATTAGTAGTATAGTTATCTATCATATATATATATATATATATACACATACACGCATGTATAGATGTGTATACATATATGTAATATTGTCTTTTACTTTCTTTCTTCTCTTCTTTCCCCTGTCCCAAAGGGTAAAAATATTTTCATTAATATTCTCAAATAAGTTTCAGAAAAAATTTATACTATAGTCTCATATTTATAAAACATTGATCAAAACTAAATCTCAGGCCAGGCGTAGTGGTACATACGTATAATCCCAACACTCAGGAAGCTGAGGCAGCAGGATCATCATGAGTTGGAGGCCAGTGTGGGCTACACAGTGAGTTCAAAACCAGCCTGAGCTACATAGTGAGGCACCATCTCAAAAAAAAAAACAAAAAAAACCCCTAGATCTCAGTGTGCACATCATAGTTTTAAGTGTATCTGTACATGCATATATATTTATGCATATTTCTGTTTATAATCATAACAGTATAGTAAGATATATAAAAGAGGAATAAACTTGATAATATAGGAACTAGGTGGAAGGATCCAAAAGGAATGTGGGACAGAATAGAAATTATTGTAAGTGAATAAGTTTAAGAAAATAGTACTACACTGTGAATCTCTAACACATATATACAGATATTTGTATCTTATTAGGCAAGATATACACTATATACATGTTTTTAAATGAAGTTAATAAAAAAGATTCAACATGTGCATTAGTGAAAATGTCATTCCTAGCACACTAAAACCATTAAACTACACACTAATTAATTAAATCAAATAAATAATTTCTGACACACTGAGTACCTATTATCAGCCTTATTACAATGCTTCTGATTACCAAACACTTTTCTGTTAGTGGTCTTAATGCATACTCTTTATCTGTGATTAAACACAAATGAGAAACAACTACCAAGAACCATTGTTCTAAGCATTCGTTTTATAACTTTGTAAATTTAAAGAATTTGATATGCTTTCAGGTTTGATTTTTAAAGATACTAAGAGAAAAGGTTAAATGGTAAACTTTTATTCAGAATTACTTGTAAGGCCTTAAAATCCAAATGATGCTGGATTGAAGCTGCAGAAACAGAACAAGAGGTGGAGGCTGTGCTGGAGAGTTCAGTATTCTACCCATGAAAGCTATGCGTCCTAATGTTCTTTTTCAAAGACCTAGCTGAGCTGGGAATGAAGAATCATGGCTCATAATCTCAGCTTTGCTGAGAACTTGCAATGTGACTTTGAGTAAATCACTTGACCTTTCTGAGCCTGTGAGTCCCTGTAGGTAATAATCCTAGTTTTATCTCCTTATTGTTTCAAAAATAAAATGAGATGGATGATTTATGGGAAAGCACTTTGAATAGTAAAATGTGCTATATTATTATTCAAACAAGGCATTATCCCCTCGAACCTACTTAGAAGGGGGTTGTAAATGAAATACTGCATATTAATGTGATCCTAGTCTTCAGAGAGCTTGGATTCTCTGGGCACCATTACAGTCTCTGCTCTTTTTCAGCACAGCATAAATTATGTGCTCCAAACAAGATTTCAATACCCTTCGGAAGCCTGAGAGGCAAGTGTGAGGCTGCCTAGTGCCCCCGAAATAGGTACCACTGCAGAGAAAGGAAGAGTATTTAAGAAAACTGTGGGCAGCCTCTGTCTGCCAAATCTGTGCTCAAGCTGCAGCTTCTTGTGTGATGGGTGTTAAGAATAAAGGAAGCATGCCTAAAAACCCAAGTCTAGGCAGGAATTTCCTTACCCTCTGGCTATTTTACCAATCTACTATAATAGATGCATGTCTGTGAATATACACAAACATGACATTATGAAAGTAGATAGCGTTGCCATGTTACACACCCAATTCATGAGACAGCCCCTGTTCCACAAACCTTCATTGCTACTGTACTGAGACCTTTGCAAGAATATTTTATGCATTTCTGTACCCTAGAGTCATGCATCCATGCTGTATGATTCTAGGTACTCACAAATGCATTTCTCCCAAAACTATGTATGTAGGTTTCAACTCAGCAATAATTATTATTTTTTTTTTTACTTACAAATCTCAGAAGTGCTTAAAGAGTTTGTAATCCCTGTTGTTTATTTGAACATCAGAGACCTGAGAGAAGACTTGGAAAAATTTGGTCACAGATTTTCTCAATCCTAGGACCCTGACTCAATCTAGGAATTCTCACTGGCCTTTTATTAGAACCACCAAATCCATACACTCCCTGAGGTTTCAGAAGACATCAGATCTCTAGAACAAAGGTTCCTGTGTCCTCTGTGCTTCGGTCTTTATTTCCTCCACAAGCCCATAAGGCAGTAGCAAGGCACTCTCAGGGCCCGTGGCATGAAGGTCACAGTCGTGATTGTCAAAGACCTCAGGGCTGTCCTGCTTCACTTACCATGGGCCTGGCAGCCCTAGACATTGTCAGCAAGGTCTTTCTCCCTGCTGTGTGGCTTGTGGTCAGCATTAAAGACCAGTAGTACAGAGTCACTGATTTGCACTGATATGTCAGATTAACCTCTTACATGACTTTGGACAAGATGTTTCACTTCTTTGACACTATTTTCTCCCCTGGAAAATGGGCATATTCCTTTCCTACAAGAGGGATGGTGATGAATTAAATCAAATAGTGTCTGGAAAATGCTCAGGGATTATATCAGTGTATCACAGACCCCTACACAACAGTAGCTGGTAGTTACAGCCAAGCAGCAGCCACAGCAGGCTTCCCTCACTACTGCTGCAGTAGAAAAAGTACACGGTCATGGGGGAGCCTGGACCTATTAAAAGAGGAGAGGAAGTTTTTATTGTCTAAGTTTAAAGGCAGACATGCTATCCACCTCAATTAGTAAGGATACAACTATGCAGACAGCTTTCCTGTCCATAAATCACAGACCAAGTTACACCAAACTTGTAGAAGAAAATCTCCTCTTAGGTGAGTCCTAAACAGCTCCATGAAAAAGCAAGAAAGAAAGAGTAAATTCTAAAAACACTTGATGTATCTGTAGCATTTGTACATGTAACTTCTGAAGGACATGACATCACAAAACACTCTGGGTCTAAGAGCGTTGGGAATGGTAAATTCTAGTTTGGAAGAACTAGTCTCTTTGCCTCTGTTAAGAATGTTCAGACACCACAGACTTTAGCTTCTAGTCTTGTCTTTTAAAGAAGAGATCAGGTTTTCTGTGTGGTTCCTGTGGGCATGGTGATGACATAGGTGCATGGCATAGCTAGGGTGGAAAAACACCCTGATATAAGATAGAGCCCCCTCCAATAACGATGGGATAATGTCACAATAAACCCACCCTAAATTGAAAATACAAGTGGAAAATACGCTTAATGTATGTAACACACTAAACATCCTAGCTTAGCAACACTGTGCAATAGAGAGTGGTGGCTGTTCCCCTCGGGACCACAAGGTTGACCAGCGTCTGGGGTTCATGGCCTCTTCACGGTGACAGCAAAGATGAGCATCCTGCACATCACCAGCCTGAGAAAAGATCGGAACTCAAATTCCACTTCCAATGAATGAGTAGAGTGTTGCTTTCACACCATTATAAATTAAGTCAGACCATTTTAAGCCAGGGATTGCAATTGTGAATTTCTGTGGTGTAAATCTTTCCACCATAAAACTTTATTGATGGTAAAACCGAGGACAGATGCACCCAGTGACAACTCACAAGCCCATCCTAGCCGGCTCCAGTACACTGCCATGTGAGCAGAGCTGGCACCCAGGTTAGCTCCTGTTAGGATGAAGTTTTCTGCCCACAAAATCTCCCGAGTGACTTCTACTGAGAAATGTCTAATTTACTTTTTTCTTCATGGTGCATATTTCCATTTCTTAAATTTTCTAAATTTTTCCATTTCCTCTGTTTTTTTCTACTGGTTTGATCCTGTTGCCTTTAAATCCTTCTTGTTGCTTTGCCAGGAGTTATAAGCAACCTGTATTCTTCTGACTGTGAGATAATGAAAGAGAAAAGTAAAGAAACTAGTCATTTAGGGAGATATGAGGGCCTGAATTTCTAATAATACTATGACCAAATAATCTCATTTTATTGAAGGTTCACTATAATATCTGTGCAAAATAAGTTGCTGATACTCAAGATCAAATTCTTACATTTGCACATACAGTCTATTTTCAACACGCTTTAAAATAGTCTATCAACTTCTCTCCCCACCCAATCCAGTCTGCACACTGCTGCCAGATATATCTCCTTGAAATAACAGTTGGATCACGTTTCCTACACAAAAATTCTTGTGGTTTCCCAGTCCTTTCAGAGAATAGTCCTCTCTTTTAACCTTCAAGGCTTTTCACAGAATTAATGCAATGGCTTGAGGTACCTCATCCCCTCCTTTTCTTCAGTCTCTATCCCAGTGCACCCATCCTTTTCTGTTCCACACGCATGACTTTTTTGGTGGAATGTTCGCTTTGCATTAATACTGTACTGAAACTCCCCAATTATGTGTTGAACTCCATTCCCTACAGTGATGGTACTAGGAGGTAGGCTCAAAGGGTGTCAGTTAAGGTTAGATGAAGTCATGAATGAAGAAGTTCCATGAGTGAGACTAGTGCCTTTATGAGAAACATTAAGTTTTTCTCTCTCATTCTCTCTGTCTCTCTGTCTTTCTGTCTCTCTCTCTATCTCTCTCTCTGTCTTGCTGTGTGTGTGTATGTGTATGGGGGTGCCCCTGTCATATGAGGATATAATGAGGTGACCATCAGCAAACTAGGAAGTGGGGCCTAGGTTCATGAGCCTCTTGGTCTTGGACTCTCCAACCTGTAGAACTGAGATAAATGCATTTTTGTTCATGCTGCTCGATATGTAGTATTTTGTTATAGTAGCACAAACTGACCAAGGCAACTGCTACATTTATATTCTTTCTTCAGTTCTGACTTCAAATTCTACTTTTTCTGTGACTTTATTCTGACTACCTTATGTGATTTTCTCTTCTCTGAGTTCACTCTGTTGTTTTATCTATACCTCCTACAGTTTTGATTTTTCACAATTTGGCCTTGTAGCTCTTGTTTTAAACCTTTTAAATAGTTTATTAGAATGAAAAGTGCCAACATTTGACTATTCTGCCAACATTCTCCAATGGAACATTCTGTGATGACTTTAATATTTTGCACTTACACTATAATATGGAACTGCCAACCACACTATGACAATGAAGTATTTAAAATTGCCCAGTGTGGCTAAAGAACTGAATTTTAATTTTCCTTGATTCAAGTCACTAAACTTCACATTTAGTCACATGTAACTAGTAGTTGCTTATTGGGTCTCACAGCTAGCTATCCACAACATGCAGCAATGTTTTCTACTTTGGAGTTATTTAACAACTATTTGTTGAAGGAATGTATGAAATTTCCTTTTAAAAAACAGTACAACCTCCCAACTGCCTTCTTTTTTTTTTTTTTTAAATGGGCGATTGAACTCATGACCTTGCCCTTGCTAGGAGGTGCTTAGGCCACTGAGCTAAGTCCCCAGCCAACTGCCTTCTAAATCATTTCTAAAGTCTAATCATCCCTTCTCGTTTCCTACTGCCACTTCCTCTCTGAGCTTTCTAATCCCCCAAATCCTTTTGTGTGGCCTTGTTTACAGTGGCCGCTGAGTGGATTTAATGCTCACAAACACCCAGTCTACTTCCTGCCCTCTAAAACTCTTGCAGGTGAGTTGTGAACTTCTCGACTTGGAGCATGGGGGAGGAAGATCTTTATCTCTACAGGCTCATCACCTCTCCACCCGCTGGTGTGCCTGCATTTTATAGTCTACTCTTAGACCCCAGAAATGGCCCTTCCTATCCATTCAGGTCACTTTTTTTGTGCTGCTAAATATAGTAAAAGTCTAAATTTCAATTTCTCATACCTGATATGTTCCAGATTAGAAACATCACACCCGTTGTTACTTGCAGCAAATAATCTTGTACATCACTTATGCAGGTGGCACAACCATTTGTTTCTAATGTGTAGAGTCTGAAATAAGGTTAATACTCTTTTTAAACAATGTTGAAGAATAGCTGGAGAATTCTTTTGCTTCAACAACTCGGAAAATGTTAAATTTCACTGAGAAATAATTTAAATAAATCTTTAAAGGGAAATGGACAGACAGTAGACATCAAAGGATTCAACACATTTATTTTACATTTAACAAATATAAGGGTGGCCTTTTAAAATGATTTTCATAAAACTACTATTGCCTACAGCAGAGATAAACAAAATATATTTTATTTCTGCAGAACTCTCTATTAATTAACAGAATCCTAGTTTATAGGGCTATTAAAATGCCCCTTCTTTAAATGGGCAAATTAAATTGAATCACTTAATTTTAAAGCTATAAAAAGTAAAATGCTATTTTTATTCTTCACTCTCTAGTAGTCATTTGGAATCAGGTAATGTAATAGCATCTGCCTCATACCAAAATTCAGTGTCTAGAAGGGAAGGAAACATTGACTTATTTTCCCTGTATTTTTATTAGATGCTGAGCTTTGCAGATGTCACTTCCCATGAATAATTCACCCCAGCATTTGGCCGTTTTCCTTACTAGCTGTTGTTTCTTAGGAGACATTCAGAATTGCATCCCGTTGTGATTTAGCACATGCGTACTTGGGCACACAAGAACTTAGAGTCAAATATAACTAAGTATTTAACAGAAGTAAATACAGTCACCAATTTCTTTTTAAAATAAAGCTTTTATCCAGTAAACATGGTTAGGCAACTGGTCATGTTATACTTCGCTTTCCATTGTCATACAATTTCCAGTTACACTGAATTACGGGGTCTGCTATGCTATACAATGGTTGTGCTGTTCTACAAATTCCCAGTTTCAATATCAGAGGAATAATAACTCATTTTCAAGATAGTGTTATTAAAATGTACTCGCTGTCAATTGACAATTTCTCTAGCTCTAAATATAACAAACTATAAACACAGAGCCATTCTGGGTAACCACGTTAGTAATACAGCTTACTTAAATGAACACAGTGTTATTTTTTAATCTATCTAGTACCCAAACTAAGCCAAAGATAGTATCAGAATATCTTATGAAATAGAAGTTTTCTAACACTTTATAACATAGATAAGAATAAAGTATATAAAATCAATATGCTTTATGCAGTGTGTTCTGATGAAGTTTAAGTTACTCTACTGCTACAGTTTTCTTAGGCTCATCATCTATCTTAGTTTTTCTGTGCTTCTTATCCCTCTTCTACACAGGACACTGTACAATGGTTCTCTTTGGCCCAGCTTATAATATTTATCTCCAATTAAAAATGAGTGCTAGCTATTTAGTAAGTTATAATTTGGTAAGAAATTTTTATATTACTCTGTTTTATTTAAACTTCTCAATTTAGCCTCCAGAAAAATCAGCTTGGTCTGAGATATACAAATATTTTGAATACAAGGACTATCGACATTAATGTCACTTAGGCCATTAGAGATTCATGCATTGACTAGCAATGGTTCTAAACTGTTGAGACACTCTTCCAAACAGTATGGAATTTTCTTCACTTGCAAGCACCTAGCATGAGATAGGTCCATGTTTTAAACAAACAATCTCATACTATCTGCATGACAACAGACATTGGGAGGTTAGTGTGTTCCAACAGTATTGAAATAATCTGAAGGCAGAATATGGGGCTTTAGAGAAATAATCACAGATGAGCTGCAGACTCAAAGCCAGACCCACAGAATAATTTATTAACCAACTACATGATCCAATAAAAAATTTTCCTATCTTTAAAAAGGAAGGAATTTTTAAAAGCACAAAAGATTGTTTGAATTTAATACAATGAAAATTCAGCTACATAATGCAAAATGTTTACTGTGATGTACATATATTATACATATTTATATATAATATTTAATGTTTTCTAGAATAGAAAAGGAAAATATTAAAAATATGTCGATAATTGTATAGTTAAAAGTACAAATCAAAAGTACTTTGAAAAATAGTAAATATAGCATGATAGAACATTTTTGGGAACATAAATATATAGACCAAACTATTAATGATGATTTTCTTCAGATATTATAGAAATTTTTAAATGCTACCTTGAATAAATTTCTCTATAATGATTGTAAATTTTTTTCTGTAACTAGCAATAATTTTTGAGTTTAAAAGCTTAAGATCCCACAATCTTATTACTGCATCTATGTACAAAGAGACTGAAATCAGCATGCTCATTCCAACATTATATGCAAATAACCAAGATAGGGAACCGACCTAAGTATTCATCAGCAAAGGAATGGATTAGGCATATATGCAATGGAATATCATTCACTCTTTAAAAAAAAAGGAAATGTCATTGTCAAGGACATAGATGAACCTGAAGAACTTTACGTTAAGTCTAATAAACGAGGCCAAGAAAGACAAATACAGTGTCATGTCACTTATGCACAAATCTAAAAATACTGAACTCAAAGAAGTAGAGAATAGAGTAATGGTTGTCAAGGACTGGGAGTGAGGAGAATTGGGAAAAAATAAATTAAAACATTTACAATTTCAAAAGAATTATTGACTGGAACTAGAAGCAGCACACTGTCTAATAATACCAGCAGAAGCAATAACAAGAACAGTGATAGAAAACACTGTTCCAGGCTCTCTTTATAAATGTATTGCAGTTAATTCTTATAGAATTCTGAGGTTCCTGTATAACTCTTGTTGTTGGGTCCCATCCTGTGGAGAAACCTTAATGTCTGTAGCCAATCTTAGCCTCTCTTGACTTCTGATGTTGAAAATCTCTAGAAGATCTTCACTTAGGCCTTCCCTTGACTGCTTAGGTCTGGTGATAAACAACAGAGACCCAGTATGGCAGGTTTTACCCAGCTTTTGCACCTGCATCACAAGATTCTCCACACAGTCTTGGTTACAAAATAGTTGCTATAACTTTACTATCATTGCCTCATTCCAGACCCAAGAATAATAACAACAAAAAGACTTACTTTCATGAGAGACTGGGTTATTTGGATTACTTGCATTTGGTTACATCATAACTATCATGTCAGTGATCATGTTCTTCTCTGTATGCGCTAAATATATATGTTCAGATGTCAGAAAAACAATTTCTGCCTATCCCAATTATTCATATTTGTCAAAAAATCATTGATCTAGAGCCTCAGTCAATACTCACAGTTAGAAGAATAGTTCTTATACAAATAATTCACACTGTCAGATTTGATGAAAATCTTCCATTCTTGAAGGTGAAGTTTTCAGTCTGCCATGAATCACTTCCCATGAGTCAATATCACTGGTGAATCATTACGCCCCAACTGGAGACCTGGCATTGACAGAGAAGTGACATTTACTGTTCTGTAGAATATTTACTGAAAGGCTACTTAGCAAGTCACTTCATTCATTTATGAATTGAACTGTTACTATGTGTCAAGATCAGAATTTTTTAAAAAATAAACATAAACCACAGAATTTTGCTTCTTACAGTCATGTATGTTTAGTAATGGGAGAAAAGGAGGAACATATAAACAGTTAATTACAATAGGATGTATTGTATGCTAACAGAATAAATTATTAGAGAATAGAAAAGAGGGAAAAGCCTTTTATCCAAAAAATAAAACAATGTTATGTTTATTAAAAGCACATTATGAATATAAATGTCCTCTAGGATTATACAACTTTAGCTCCTATGGAGAAGAAATCAAATTAATACACAAACACAGTAGGCATAAGACTGAGTGAGATTTACTTAAACTCTTGTGATCTCATTCAGGGGAATAAGCATCTTCATTAGCACAATTTTATTTGCAGGTATAATGGGAATAGCCAAGATATTATGTAAATGCATTTTAATCCTAGGTAGTTTATAGTTCTAAAAGCCAAGCCTAGACATCTCCTATTTTAGAGATGTGTGTGTGTGTGTGTGTGTGTGTGTGTGTGTGTAAAACGTATCTCCACCACACTTGATAGCGGAATCATGAAGCTTACTGAGATAGAAGTCGTTTAAGTGTGCCCATCAGAAGAGGGACCACCAGAAGCCACCTGTCTGAGTAGGACAGAATATAAAATGGAGTCAAGAAGTATCAAGAAATAATGACAGAACTTGATTCTTCAGTGTCTAATCCCCACCATCTCTAACATCTTTGGAAATCCAACATCCCTGAGCTAGTGATCCACTTTCTCTGCTATAATTTGGGGGACAGAGGAGCTCCACATTTGTCTCTTGTCTCATCCAACACGCATCCATATGGGAATGTCACACCATGAAATATATCTCTTGGTAGCCTGAAGTAGTTCTTTCATGTGTTGAAAACCCCTGGATTCTATAAGCTCCAAGGAGGGCATGGAAAAGCGTCTGGCAGGAGCTAGGAGTGAAAATCTAGGACAGCAGAACACAGAGACTTAAGGTTGGAGGCAGTAGCTGAACCCCTAAAACATGATAGCAGGCTCCTAAAACCAGCTACAGGTCTGCAACCCCAGGGAGATGAACTTGCTGACAAGACTCCACAGGATAAGGACCTGCATTCACACCAGTCCAACTCTGCTGCCACCATGGAACTCCTCTGTCACACTGGCCCTGAATCCCCAGATGTATCCATAGGAGAAAAGCAGGGAAAGAACTGAGGAATCTAAGAGCATGAACATTTACCCTAAGAGGCTGAGTCACCCCAAAGAAATTATCTAAACAGGAAGAGACAGAAATGTAGTTAATTAGCAAGATTAAAGCACCCCAACCCTCAACATTATGCCCCTAACGAGCAGCGTTAACAAGCTTAGGAGAAAAATTAAATCATTATCAAGATGTCTGCAAGCTTTAGAAAAGTTTAGAGAGGAAATTATATGGACTAGTTATTGCAGGCCAAATAGTGTTTATTCTGTTCCACCAATGCCTACCAATCAAAGGTTGATCCTATGGTGCAAAGTGGCCACCATTCAGTTAACAAGCTGCATTGACTGTGGTGTGAAAAAGAAGGGCTCCTCAGGAGTGACATCAGTAGAACTTAATGTCAATAAACCCATTCTTTAATCAGTCGCTTGCTGCTACTTGCCTTGCCAAGCAGAGATAGTTGGTGAGGAAAGCCAGCCCCAACTGCCTCTCCCTAGCTCTGTTTCTCATGTCATGGCCCAGAGACTCATTTCTCCCAATTATCATGAAACACAATAAGAAAAAGTGAAATCTATTCACAAACTGGGTAGATGTTCTGGTAGCATAGAAAAAAAAGTCAGATTGGGAGATAGAAGACAGAATGGCTATTTGTTACCAACTTTCCATGCAATGTGTGTAACTTACGAGAAAATGTCCCGAAGTAAGTTTGGAATGCTGAGGTGACCAGACCCTTATCTGAAGGGCTACTTCTAACAAAGACATTGTCTTCCCTGAAAGTCTAAAAACATTAAGTATATAGTTGCAAACTTACTCCAATGGTATGCTGACTTATGCCAGACAGAGGAGACCAGAGGCATCTCTTCCTGGGAGACCAGAGGCATCTCTTCCTAACTCTGAATTTAGTGCTATTGCCATATGTTATGGTTTGTGTCTCTTGTGGTTGTGGGGCAGTCTTTTCAGAGGCTGCATCTAGAGTTTGTGATTCATGGTCCAATGCTGGGATTAAAGGTGTGAGTGCTACACCTGCCCTAGGGCAGGTACAATGCATATAATATAAAGAACAAGAAGAGGCTTGTCTGTCTGTCTGTCTTCTCTCTCTCTTTCTCTCTCTGTCTCTCTCTCTCTCTCTGTGTCTCTCTGTGTGTCTCAGTCTCTCTGTCTCTGTCTCTTCCTCTTTCTTTCTCTCTTTCTCTGTCTCTCTCCCTTTCATTGCTTTTGCTGTTTTCCACTTCCTTGATCAGTTGTCGTCTGCCGGGTACCACTCCGCCTTTTAGCCTCCCGACTACTCATTGAAGTACCCCTACAAACTGTGAGCTAAATAAATCTTTCCTCCTTTAACTTTAGGTTGAGGTATTTTGTCTCAGCAAGGAGAGAAAAGTAACTAAGATACCATGGTAGCTTGAAATTAGCTGTAGTGGGGAGTAACTATGCATACAAGTGACAAAAGCTAATAAGGCTTTTGTTTTTAAGAGCACTGCTCTGTGTGTATGTGTGTGTATGTGTGTGTGTGTGTGTGAGAGAGAGAGAGAGAGAGAGAGAGAGAGCATGTGTACATACATGCATATATGTGCTTATATGTGTGCATACATTGTGCTATATTCCCACACTAATATGCATATGTATATGTATCCCCAGAGTCTATATACATACACCTACACACGCATGTGTCCCCACACACACAACACATATATTTTCTTTTGAGACAGTTAATGGTTAAGTTTTCCAGGCTGGGTTCAAACTTACAATATTCCTGCCTCGCCTCCTAGAGTGGTAGGATTATAAATTTGTTCTACCACATCAGTAAGCACTAGTTTCTGCTCCTTTAACAACATGCCATTGTTTTAGAAACTTCTTTTTAATAGAACATGTTACAGCACTAGTGTATTAGTATTCTGTTTAACAGATTTTCACAAATGTAGTGACTTAAAAGACAGAAATACTTCTGATTCTACAGGATAAGTTAGACACAGGCCCCAGAGGGCTAAAATCAAGGTCTTGCTTTCCTTTCTGAGAGCACTGGAAGAGAGCTCATTTCTGTGCCTTTTCCAGCTTCTAGAACCTCGATTCAGGGCCCCTTTCTCCTTGTTCAAAGCCAACATCAGCCAGTCATGTTTATCTCTCATGGTACCAACCACCTCTAGTTCCCTCTTCCACTCTTAAGAGCCCTTGTGATTACCGTGGGCCCACATAAGTGATACAGAAAAATACCCCTATTTTCAGGTAACGTAGTTATACACCTTAATCCCATCCATAGGTAACATCTTTGCTGGATGCAGGGAGTAGGGTATGGAGCTTTGAAGGGCTCACTATTCTATTTAAAACAACTGTGTTCCAAGGAATACATTTCGGGGAGAGTCCTAAAATGCTTTAATGAAAGTGCATTGGGCTATGCACTTTTTAATTTCTCTATGTATCCTTTTAGAGCCTCACTGAATTGCTCTATAAAATGGGAATATGTTCTTTATCAGCTTTGCAAAGTGGTTTGGTTTGACCAGTTAAAATAATAGGCAAGATAATGTCTGACAAACAGATGAGACTCTCTACGTGTACATGTGCAGTACATTATTATTAACAGTAATATACTGCAAGGTTTTATTTAAGGTCAAAATAATTCCCTAGTTTATAACTCAATTATCTCTACTCAAGCATTCTCTTAAGTTTTCCAGAAGATATTGGTTCTGGCCCATTGCCAGAAGGAGATGTATGAGTGTAAGGACCGAGGACACATGCTCAGCCTTTGATCACTTCAGATTTTCACAGGAGTCTGGATCTGGAGTGAGCCTCCTGAGATTCCTCTGAACTAGTAGAAATCCTGATAAAATACAGGCTCTTCCAAATCCTTCAGGACCAGATCTGGGCAAATTCTCTCTTGCGTACTCACTCTTTTCTATGACATCCTTAAGCCACAAGACTGATAAGTGGGTGGGTGAGGGATGAAAAATGGGAAGCATTTGTAATAACTTTTCCCCATTTTGACACAATCTGATACCCAGCACCTTTCCACAGGGAGTCCTGGAAGTAAACATTCTTCATTCCAAGTGCTGCTTCCAAGTTGATGTTTCTCTTTGCATCTCAAATAGATGATTCTACTACCTACTGAAATATAATTTTTACTTTTTCTTATTTAAAAATTTGGCTGTCTTCTATTGCTGTTGTATGCTGAGGTTATATAATTTAGATTTGGAGATGAGTTTGCTAATTCACCGATTGTTGACTGTTTTATCTTTCTGAACATTTCCTCCATTCTAGGATTTTTATTATACTCATTGTTTCCTGCACCATTCACCAACCTTCACAAAGATTAAATACACAACTGGAAAAAATGTATTACGTATTAATGAATGAAGTATAGATTTTACCTGGAAAATAAATCTTAATAAACTAAGTGCACTTGACTGTGTGAAATTTCACACTGTTTTATTCTGCCTCCAGGTATTTTAGACCAAAGTGAGTACTTCTGACTTGTTAGTTATCAGTCTCTGATAAGCCTGACACCACCCTAGGCTGGTCATATAATCCCCTGGCCCTGGGTCTAGAGATCCTTTGCAATCTGTGTTGGATTATGCTTGCATCAACAAAACCAGCCAGGCAAGAGGGTGGCCTGGGCAGAGCTCAGGTTACCAGAATAGGATCACTTTCTATTTTGTTTTGACTCCATTGTGAGGCTTTCTAGTGTCATATTTAGAGTCTTTGGTGTGGTACTTTTCTGATAACCCTGT